TGCTATCACTGTTGTGTCGGATCTAGCCAGGGAGTCCCTGCAAGCCAGCTCTGTGTCCGCCCCATGGGTCTGTCATTCTTGGAACCCTTCCCTTTTGGTGTGCTCACTGTTGCTCTGTTTGCTCCTCCAGCTGACAGAGCTAGCAGTGACTTTTACATCTGTAGTCTTGTTTATGAATATTTACCTGAGGTCACACAGGTATTGTGAATTCTGATCCAACAGTGCATGATTCCTTTCCTCCTTTTCATATATATATACTAGAAATATACGTAAATAATATGAATGTGTATATTTATTACACAGGTTTGGAAGTCATGACCTTGCGTATGCCAGGCAAGCACTTTACCACCTGGACCTCTAGCCCATTTTACTTCAGTTATTTATTTTGCTATTTTTCAGGTAGGTCTCACGTTTTTGGCCAGGGTTGGTCTCAGATCTTCCTACCTACAGCCTCCTGCATAGCTGGGCTTACACTACTATTGCCTGGCTTGTTTGTTGAGATGGGGGTCTTGCTAATTTGTACTGAAGCTGGCCTCGAATCACTTCTTCCTGATCTCTGCCTTCTGAGTAGTATGGATTATAGATGTGAGCCACCACACCCAGCCCTCTCCATGTATATTTGCACTACTGGGGTCACTGGGCATTGTACCTTCTGGTTTTTGGTTTTTTGCAGTACTGGAGTCTGAGTTCAGAGACTTGTGCTTGCTAGGCAGGCACTCTACCACTTGAGCCTTGCCACCAGTCCCACCCTCCGTATTTTCAACGTTCATTTCTCACAGTGAGAAGCCTGGTCCTGGTTACCCTTCACACAGTCCCCATGCAGAAGCAGTGTCCTTGCTCCTGCCTGTGTCCCCTACCCCCTGGGGCTCTGGCCTCTTGCTCAGGGCTGCCCTCTGGGGGTAGCTTTCCTCTGGGGATGGCTCTGAGCTGGCTGCAGCTGCAGACATCCACTGAGATAAGAGCTTTTCTCTGCATTTCCTGGACCCTGGCTTCCTTTTCCTCCCTCAATTCCTTGACCCTACCTGGGCCTCCTGGGAGCGCATCCCAGATAAGTTACTTGCACTCAAATCTCTGCCCAAGGATCTGTTTTTGGTGGAATCCAAACTTAGACAAAGGTCTTTCACTTGAGCTCAGGTTAGTGGAGTAAGTTTTGAAATCATAACTTCACACTTTCCTGACAATGGCAGTTTGTGCCTAGCTGTTACTGGCTCTTCCTTCCACGTCCCAAGGAGGGGTGGGGTGCAGAGTCTGTAGGGGCATACTGGTTCATGGCAGGAAGAAATCCTTCCATGGGGATGCTGGCCTGACCCTCCCACAGCACTGACCCAGCTGGGCCTGAGCCCCTTTTGAAAATAGGGTGCCGTTTTGCCAACAGCACTGCCTTATCTGGCTTTGAGGTGCTGTCAATCCGTCTTGTACCTGCTGACTCTTCAGGCTTGGGGTGTCAACTCCCAGGTCAGCCCCCAGGGAGGTCTGCCCTGCTGAAAGCGCCTAGTTGTGTCCTCAGGACCTGGATGAGCTTTTCCTGTCCAGGAGGGTCTGTTGCTCTACTGCCTGCCTCTCATACAAGAACTGAAGCCACACGGGCCTGCTGGACCTAGCCCTAGCTCATACCTGCCCTGGTGGGAGATCAACAAGTGCCTGTGGAAGAGGGAACAAGTGTACTACCAGCTGTCCATGCCTGCCATGGGCCAGGGCCAGGGCCAGGCAGTGAACTGGGAAGGTCTGGTGCAGTGAGGTCCCCGTCTTCACTACATCACTACATGCTGGGGTTCCTCAGTGATGGTATCCAACCTCACCCCACCTTGACATAGCTGTGCCTGTGGTCCTCCTCTCCCTGCAGGGTGGCCTGGCTTGTAGCATGAGTGGATGATGGACCAGAGTACCAGTCGGAAGGGTCAGGGGGAGGAAGGCTACCACGTAGGACTCCCCCTACCCCTGTGCCCACCCCCCCCCCACACACACTGGGTTCAGGGAGAAAGCAGGCCCCTGCTAGCTCTGCCTGTCACAGCTGCTCTGACCCTTGGTGGGTTGGGCTGCTCAGGAAACTCCATCAACTTGAAGGAGGTGACCTCAGAGTCCACTGAATGTAGAAGTGGCTTTAGAGGTGAGACCAAGACCTTCTTGCTTCTTGGGGCCCTTGTCCCCTTCCCGCAATCCCTCCTGGGTCCAGTACCTTCACCTTTCTCTCTGCCCATGGCTGCTTGACTGGGTTCTGCAGCTTGGGGACAGTGCTGGCCCCTGGCTTGGACCCTGCAGAGCCAGGTGCACTAGACACAGCAATGTGAGGCGGTCCTGCCCACCCAGGCCACCGCTTGGGCAAAAGAGCTAGAGGAATTCCTTGCTTGGTTGGAGAAACATTCCAGAAGCTCTAAGGTCTCTAGCCTCCTTCGGATTACAGTTTGCCTGAGTTTTGTAGGATTCAAATCCAGATGGAAGGGAGTGAATTCCTCGACATTAACTTGTTTTGGGCCTAAATGTGGGTGGAGAGTATAGTAAGTCTTTTTTGTTTGTTTGTTTTTTTAAAAATCCCTTTAAGGAAACAGTCTTCTCACCAGCTTTCTTATATTTGAGCAGAAGAGATGCCTTGCAGTGGGGATGCGTAAACAGGAGCAGGAACTGTGATGACAAGGAAGGACAGTCCCACAGGGTACTGGTATGCCAATGAAAGAACTTGAAGTGAGCTCATAGGTCCCTAGTGGGCTCACAAGTCCACAGTAGGGAACAACCTAGTTTTCAAACACAGAATTTTGCCTTGGTGTCACCAGCTGGTCCTGGCTGCCTCTCCCCACACCTTCCCTTGTGGCAGGGGCAGCTGAGGCTTTCAGAGAGGTGCCTAGCCAGCCCCCAGACAGAAGTTGTGTCTAGGTGTGCTGCTTTGGGGTCTGTTCCAGCCTTTCCCCAGAAGTGGGAAGTTCACAAACTGAAGGTGAGAGGTTTTGGTTCGCAACCTAGCACTAGGGCCTCTCCCACTTGTGTCCTAGTGTCCGGGCACCATTGTCTGATTTAGTTAGACTGTCCTTTGGCCTCAAGTTGAACACAGCCAGAGCTGTCCCCCAATTCTGAGTCCCTAGGCCAGGCTTCTGCTGTATGCTGCCTCCTGTGGGAGCCACCTTGCCAAACTGTCCTACTTTTGGCCACCTCCTAGCCATGTCTGGCTTGTCTCTCTCCCAGGGTAGCCACTGTGTGGAGGGACAGACAGTGGGTCTTACTGTGGCCATAACCTGGATGCCTGATGGACAGATGTAGAAGCAGTTCCTGGCCCTGGAGGCTGCAGAGTAAAAGGTCACACCAGCTTCCACCCTGAAACATGTAGGGACCAAGTTCCTCAGGCTGGCCCTGGAGGTGACTGGCCAGTGGGCAGCTCAGAGAGGAGCAGTGACTGCTGGAGAGGGATCATGGTTCCTCACAGTAGGGCCTGTCCCCAAACCCCTGCCTCCTGTGTTGGAACGTGGGACAAGAGCCTCTGCTTGGCAGATGGCAGGGTCACAGGGTGGTCCATGTTGCCCGCAATCACGGTGCGCTGGGAAGTAGCTGTGCCTCCTCTGCATCCTGGCATCTTCAGGTCACACTGTGGTGTCCCTGGGTGCTGCAATCCAGGGTGTGCAGTATCCCCACTTTGTCCGATGTGGCATCCTATCCTAGGCTGGATCTCAAATCACGGTGTGGGGACCTCGTGTGGGGACCTCTGTGTTAAGTGCCATCCCTGCAGTACGTGGAAACCCAGGATGTGCTTTGGAGCCTCGCCCTCGAGGTGTGCCGCGAGACGTCCCCGTCGTTCAGGGGCCTGTTTCGGAGCGGCCCCGTTCTGTGGGGACCCCGGGGTGTGTCGGGGCGTGCCTGTCACGTGGAGACCCGGGGTGTGTGTCGTGGCGTCTCGGTGGAACGGCGACCCCGGGTCGTGCGGTGGCAGCCGCGCAGATCGGCCGCTGACCGCCCCTTAGCTGGTCTGCGGTTATGGCGGGGGCCCTGTGGGTTTCGGGGCCCCGGGGCGGCGACGGCGGCGGGACGGGCGCCTTCCCAGCCGCGCAGGAAGTGGCCTCGGCCGGAAGGGGGGCCCCGGGCGCCGCCGCCGCCGCCGCCTCCGCCGCCTCCGCCGCCTCCGCCTCCGCCAGCGGCCCTTGGAGGGCGGGGTCGAGCGGGGCCGACCGAGCCGAGTGGGGCCGAGCTCCGGGCGGGCGCGCCCGAGCGGAGTCGAACAGAGTCGAGGCCTAGGCGGGCGGAGCCGAACTTGGCCGAGTCCGGGCCGGGCGGAGCCGAGCGCCGACGAGCGGGCCCGAGCTCAGGAGGGGGAGCGCGCGTTCCTGGAAGAGCCGGCCCGGAGCGGGTCACATTCCTGGCTGGCGCTCTGGCTGAGGCGGACGCACAGCAACAAACAGCGCGGGGGGCGGGGCCGGAGCGGACGGGGCGGAGCGGCGCGGGGCGGGGTTGCGCGCGGCGGCGTGAGCTCAGCGCCGGGCGCTCAGTCCGAGCCGGAGCGAGCCGCCGGGAGGATGTGCGCGGAGCGCGCCGAACCCCGCGCTGCCGCCGCCGCGCTCTGAGGCCGCGGGCCAGAGGCGCCTCCGCCGCCCCAGGAGCCGCGCGCGCGGGCCGGCGGACGGCCGGGAGCCGGCGGGCGGGCGGGCGGCCGGGGCCGGCGGCGGGCGCAACGCGGCCGGCCAGCGCCGCCGGGACGAGCCGGTCGGGCGCCGCGCGGTGGGAGGAGCGGGGCGGCGGCGGCGCGCCGCGCGAGGACGGCCCGGCGGGCCCCGCGCCCGCGCCCCCGCTCCTCCCGGGCCCCTCGGCCTCGGCCGCCGCGGCGATTCGCGCCTCGAGGCGCCGGCACCTGCCCGCGCGCCCCCCGCGAGCCCCGGGCCCGCGAGCGTTGGCGTTGGCGTTGGCGGCGCGCGCCGGGGCATGCCCCGCGCCTAGAGCCCGGGGGGCGCGCGGGGGGCGCGCGGGGGGCCCGGGCGGCGGCGGGCGCGGCGCGGGCGCGTGGATGTGGCGCCGGGCCCGGGCGGCGGCGGACTCCAGCGGCGGGACCCCTTCGCCCCGCCCGCCTTCGCCTTCGCGCCCCCGGGCGAGGCCGAGGCTGCGGCCGTGATCGGCCGGGAGCCGGCGGGGGCGGCCGGGGCCGGGGTCGCGGGCGCCGCCGAGGCGCGCGGGGCGGCGGCGGGGGCCGTGGGGGCCCGGGCGCGCGGGAGCGGGAGCGACCCGGGGAACCCGATCGCGCTATGGAGGCGGCGGCGGGCGGCCGCGGCGGCTTCCAGCCGCACCCGGGGCTGCAGAAGACGCTGGAGCAGTTCCACCTGAGCTCCATGAGCTCGCTTGGCGGCCCGGCTGCCTTCTCGGCGCGCTGGGCGCAGGAGGCCTACAAGAAGGAGAGCGCCAAGGAGGCGGGCGCGGCCGCGGTGCCGGCGCCGGTGCCCACGGCCGCCGAACCACCGCCCGTGCTGCACCTGCCTGCCATCCAGCCACCGCCACCCGTGCTGCCCGGGCCCTTCTTCATGCCGTCCGACCGCTCCACCGAGCGCTGCGAGACTGTGCTGGAAGGGGAGACCATCTCGTGCTTCGTGGTGGGAGGCGAGAAGCGCCTGTGCCTGCCGCAGATCCTCAACTCGGTGCTGCGCGACTTTTCGCTGCAGCAGATCAACTCCGTGTGCGACGAGCTGCACATCTACTGCTCGCGCTGCACGGCTGACCAGCTGGAGATCCTCAAAGTCATGGGCATCCTGCCCTTCTCCGCGCCCTCGTGCGGGCTCATCACCAAGACGGACGCCGAGCGCCTGTGCAATGCGTTGCTCTACGGCGGCGCCTACCCGCCGCCCTGCAAGAAGGAGCTGGCCGCCAGCCTGGCGCTGGGCCTGGAGCTCAGCGAGCGCAGCGTCCGCGTGTACCACGAGTGCTTCGGAAAGTGCAAGGGGCTGCTGGTACCTGAGCTGTACAGCAGCCCCAGTGCCGCCTGCATCCAGTGCCTCGACTGCCGCCTCATGTACCCGCCTCACAAGTTCGTGGTACACTCGCACAAGGCCCTGGAGAACCGGACCTGCCACTGGGGCTTCGACTCGGCCAACTGGCGGGCCTACATCCTGCTGAGCCAGGACTACACGGGCAAGGAGGAGCAGGCCCGCCTCGGTCGCTGCCTGGACGACGTGAAGGAGAAGTTCGACTATGCCAACAAGTACAAGCGGCGGGTGCCCCGGGTGAGTGACTCCAGGCCTGGTAGCTGGCAGGTCATGTCCAGGGTGGGGGTGGGGGTGGGGGTGGGGGTTCCTGGGCGGGGGACTCCAAGAGCTAAAGGTTGGGACTTGTGCTTTTCCCTTAGCCCGAGTTTCAGGAAATTGTTTTGTCTTAAGGAAATTCTGGGCAGTGGAATTCTCTATGGATGGGGCCCTGGGATCTAGAAGAAAGGCCATCCTGCTTGGGAAAGGAGAGTCAGTGAAGTGGAGGGGGTGCTGGCACAGGAGGCCAGGGCCTCCCTTATAGCCATTGCCCAGATAGGCCAGGCTGTGACTGGTCAAAGAAGACTGTCACAAGCTTCGGGCAGTTAGATCGTCAGGGCCCAGGCTGTGAACCTTAGGTCCAGGTTCCACCTGCCCTTATCCTCCCCCACTACGAGGGGTCCAGACGGAGGTGGGGCGGAAGGTTGCTGCCCTTAACCCAGAAGCCTTCCAGACTCACTGACAGGGGTGCCTGTCCTTGGTCCCCAGAAGACAGACTAGTTTGATTACCAGTTCCCCTGTTTTGTGCCTTGAAGTCTGGAGACACAGACACAAAAGTGTCCCAGGTGGCCTGGTTCAGACTTGGCAACTTTTGCTCTCCCATCTCCCTGGGCCTGCCAGGAAGTGAATCCCTGAGTCGCTTGTGTGGGATCATTGTCCCTTGGCCTGGTCTATGGCCCTGAAGCCTTGGGTGTTAAGAGTTGCTGACGATCTGCAGTTTGTTTTGGGCTCGCCCATTTCCTTTTCCCCCTTGCTGGCTGAAACGCAAAAGGGTTTGTTGTGGAAGGGCTGCTGGCTCAGGCCCTGTTTGCATGGAGGCTCTGGGGGATCTGCCTTGGGCAGCTCCTGGGCCACTAGGTGCTGAAACCATTCCCTGAGGTCCAGGGGAACTTTCTTTTTTGCACACGTCCCAGTAACTTTTCTTTTAAATATCCAGGCTTATTAAATTGCACACACAGAATGCTGCATTGGCTCAGCTATTCTTGGGAGGCCTAATTAATTCAGCTATTGCATCAAACTTTTTTTTTCTAAATCTGTGAATAGATGCTGCAGCCCGGTTTTCTCTGGGCGCCCCTCCAGCGGAGTGTCAGAGTTGTGGGGGAGGGGCTGTGAAGAGGGACCGCCGCCTCCTGTGGGGGCTGCCGAGTGTGCTGGGCCTGTGTGCCTGTGGGTTCTGTGGTGTGGTGTCTGCTCTGGCCAGCCAGGCCCGCGGCCAGGTGCAGCTGACTGCAGCCCTGTTGTGGGGAGGCTGGCGACAGATCCATCAGGCTGGTACCTTTTATTTTGGGTGAGGAGTTTGCTGTGGGCACTCCCCTGCCAGCGGGGCCTTTCCATTTGGGGTGGTGTTCCCTCCCCAGCTCTTATGGCTCGAGGAATCCACTGTGTAGCAGTGGTGGTGGCTTAGGCACTGGGGGACTGGAGGACTGGCCAAGGCCCAAGCCGCTGGGTCCCTTATCTCCAGAGCAGGCGCAGAGGATCTTGTCTGAGCAGGGTGTGTCTGTGTTTGTTTTTGTCGACTCTGGGTCATGTGTGTGTTTGTGGTCTTTCTGTCTTCCTGGGCTCTGCAGGGCTAGCAGGGTCCCTTTGTCCCAGCTGCTGCTGAGCAAATGGAGCAGGCTGCTGTCTTCTCCTTCCCTTACAGTGAGCCCTGGTTCTGAGTGCGAGTGTCCTCAGGCTCAGGGCAGGCCCAGGCACTGCAGGCTTAGAGGGTGCCAGGTACCACGGTCATGAGAGGAGGCCAGGCCAGACTCTGTGAGGGTCATTTCATTTGGTTTGTAGCTGCTGTCCTGGCAGTGCTCTGATACCTCATTGAGTAACTTAAAAGAAACTCTCCAAGTGAATGCTGAATGAGCCACCCTGGTCTGTAAGCCCTGCCCTGGCAGTGTGGCCGTGGCCTGGGTTTCTGCATTTTCCAGCTCCCATGTGCTTTCCTAGTGAGGACCAGAGAGCTGTCTCCCCTTGTGCGGTGCCCTCAGCCTGTGTGGCCTGGCTCTGCCCTCCTTCAGGGCTGCTGTTCCCCCTCCGTGTCACTGTTCTGGGGCTCCATGACCCTGCAGTTGGGAGTTCTGACCGTGTAGTTTCCTATAAGTCCTCCTAGGACAGCCATGTGCTTGTATGTGCACACGCTGGGTTGCCACGTGGAGAGAGGCTGTCAGGTAAAATGGCCATGGATTCTATAGCTGCACTGACCCCACTTGTCCTGGGAGAGACCTGGGAGGTCCCCTCTGTTGACTCTTCCCAGTCACCTCTTGACAGCTTATTCACAGAGGTGTTTTGATTTCTTTACTTCCTTTGTAGCTTATTTTAATATCTTAGATCTACTGAGGAGGGCAGGAGGAACAAAGAATGTTCTGGAACTCTTTTCAGGGGCTGCAGCTCTCTGCAGGCCTTTGGGCTCTGCTAACTGGATGGGAGCTGAAATGCCTTGGGGATTGTGGGAGGTGGGGAGGCCGGGAGGCAGCTCTTCTGCCAGCATGGGGCTGGGTTGCCTCTCCATACCCTTGATGGGGGAGATGGAGGAGGCCCATGATTTTCCTGGTGCCCTGCTTTGTGGTGTCTTGGCCAAAGTGGGTTGTGGTTCCTGTGTTCAGGAGTGTGTGTGTGTGTGTGTGTGTGTTTCATCTTTGAGCCTGAAAACCCAGGCAGCTATGCCTGCGCCTGGGCGTGCCATGTGTGACACTGCGAAGGCTGGTGGTCTTCCTGGGTGATGCTCCCCTAATTCCATAGGGTGCAGAGGAAATATCCACTACTCTCTATTGTTGATGTCACTTGGAAGAACACACAGGCTTCCCGGGTGCTTCAGGAGTCACTCCCAGGGACCCCTTCCCCCCATGGCTGCCGTCGTTGGTGGCTGTTTTGCGGTGAGCCAGTCCTGTTGTGGGACCTCAAGGGGTTGGTCTCCCATTCCCACTCTGTCCCTCACTGGCTGTGTGGCTTGAGCAAGTTGCTTAACCTCTCTGTGCCTCCCTTTTCTATGTAAACTAGAGGCCAAAGCTTTATTGATCTGGGTGTCGTGTCTTAAGGGTGGGGTTGGGATGGATCATTTTCCTGTGGCAAGACAAAGTGTATGGGAGTCTGTGAGCCTTCCCTGAGCTGTCTTCTGCCTGGTTGCCTCCTTCCCCTCCTCTTGGCCAAATAGCTGCTGGACTCACACAGAAACTCACTCCATTAGCATAGGTTGCTGACTGTCCACAAGGAAGAGGGACAGTGTCAGTTTAAGCTGCTGCTTGGCCTACTGCCTGGGGTACCTCCTTTCCCACCGGATGTCATGCTGGTAACCAGGGGCCTCCCTGGCAGACTGGCGTCAGGGTGCTGCAGGGCTGGCTGCTGTGTGCCTGGGGTTCTGAACATCTCCTGTCTTAGATTATCACTCTGTCCTTCAGTGCCTGACTTCTTAGAGGGTGTCTCAGGCCGTACTGCTGTTGTCTCTGTGGGTCCACGTGCAAGTTAGAGGACTCTGGCTGATGTCTGTTGGTGTGGATTGTCTGAATTCCTCACATTGGACCGATAGGCTAGAGGTCATGTTTCTCAACTGGATACCCGGCCAAGTGGTCAGCCTCGGAGAGCACTGAGCCCTTGGACTGTGTTTTGGGGCCTGTGACAGCTTTTGGCTGCAGAGGCCTGAGGTAGGGGCTCTGGACTCAGGTGCCCTCTGGAGTGAGGATTGCCACATCTAGCTGGAACCACATCAGGACGCTGGGAGCTGCCCCCGCCGCTGGGGCTGTGAGTGTTTGGGGCTGCGCTCACCTGCACGCCCTCGGGTCTGGGCGGTGGTGCTTCCAAGTGCCGGTTGTCCTTTGTCCACTGGCTTCTTTGAAGAACCACCTGGGAGTGGTTCTGTGCAGGCCTCCTTGGGATTCAGTGGTGGTCCCCCCCCCCAGTGCCTAATGTGGCATAGTGGGCTCCACTGTGCTCTGACTAGGGCAAAGAGTCCTGCAGAAGGCAGATTCTGCAGGCTGGTCTGGCCCCCAGGGTGAGGGCCTCAGTGTTCTGGTTGGGGGAGGACAGCAGCTTAAGAGCTGGTGCTAGGTCCTGTGCAAGCCGTGGCTCTGCCTGCTCCTATGGGTGCCCTGTCCAGCCCTGCAGGCTCTTCTCCAGGTGCCATCCTTCATTTCACCTGGACTGCCAGTTTCCAGGACCCCTCTGGGTACTGGTTTGGGTCCTCACCATTTAGGGGGAGTGGGATTGCTGGGTAGCCCTCACCTCTGCCCTGGCTGCCTGCACGGCAGCTGAGGGGTAAGGTCATTGACTGCAGCGCCTGGTTTCCCAGCCTCCCCTGCAGCTGGTTTTGTGTAATGTCTGTCTGAACTGGAGCACAGGGCAGACAGGATGTCGAGCTGGAGGAAGTCTGGGCGAAGTGTGAGCCGAGCCCCGCCCGGAATGGGTGTGGGGGGTGCCCCGGCCCAGAAGGAGACCGTGGTTCCGGGGCCGCCGTCTGGCGGGAGGTGGCTGTGGCCGTGGCTGGACTCTGTGGCAATAGTGTGTCTCTTTCTAAGGATTGCGAAAGTTGAGGGAGGGCTTCTCCACTGGAGGAATTATGCAAGTTTCAACCGAAATGTTTTAAAAAGTTTCTTTGTTTTGAGTCAAAACACCAAGGCTAGATTACTTCCTTGAGATCTGGGAGAGGAAGAGAAAAGGAGCCTGGCTTGGGAGGGGCTGTGGGGGTGAGGCTGGGTCACTCCCTGTGGTCTCTGGTGGGTTTTGGTCAGTCCCCCTGGGAATCCCATGGGTAAAAGCCGCCTTGTCCATACCAGCCCAGCAAGGTCACCCCCACCTCTTTCCTGACCTCTTGGAGGCTGATCCCTCCCCTAGACCAGGTGCTGCACTGGCCACTTTGCGGCCTAATGAGGTTACCTTGGGACACCCTCTGGAAGCACCCATCCTCCCCAGTGGCAAGGTGCAGTCATAGCTGTGTCTAGTGCTGCTTTGTGTGCCAGCGAGGGAGTACTGCAGGAGCCCTATTTCCAGGGTCCGCACCTGTT